ATGGTACTGTAACCCGACTACCCGAGACCTGAGTACAGAGTATATACCTAATAGTATCTATTAGTATTAAACGTACGTTATAAATATTTTTATATTTCTGAAATTGTGCAACATAATGGCGTCCGAAACTGGAACGTTTTTAAATTATATCCTGTCTGACGGCGAACAAATATTTTCCGAAGACAGATCCCATATACTTTGCAATGTGATAATTCAAGGTAAATATAATAAAGAGTAATACTATTTACAATTTCAAAACAATGCTTACATTATTTAATTTAAACCTATATCAATCATATAATTTTGATTGAAAATATATGGAATAAATTAAAATGTTGATTTGATCTACCAGTGTTTCAGGCCAAATCCACCTATAATGTAAACATTGTTTAACTATGTATTTGTTTATTTTAACAAATTGAACATATCATAACAGATACAAATACATTTAGTTTTAGTTTATATATGTTATTAATTATTATAGACAAAGAATGTGAAATGTGGGTACCAATATCATCTTTGGTAGATGGATTGAATGAAGATTTRAATTCTAATGATGAAAAACTGTCAGATAATGGTAAATTTATAAAATTGTAATTTAATTTGTTTAGTTTGATAGGTCAATGAAAAAATATTAAAACTTAAGTATATGGTCTTTACATTTATAATTTTAATTTTGTAGAGATAAACATTACTACTGATGAAATATGGTGTTCACGTAAGCCCAAACCTCAAGATATAAAAGCTACTGAAGATCTTTTGAATAGGTATAATCAAGCTTGAAAGTATTCAAAAACTGCTACTGGATAAAAAAACACCAAAGTATATGTGGGAAAAAATAGCCTTAAAACTCCAAGAAGATCATGGGTATGTGGTAGGTAAATCTTTAAAATATAGTGGAATGAAATACCACCAAAAATGGAGAAATTTAGAAAAAGCATATATGGCTTTTATTCAAAATAGTAAAAAAACAGGAACAGGAAACACCAAAACTCCAGCATACTTTAACTTACTTCATTCCATATTAGGTAGTAAGCATAAAGTAAAACCAGCCATCTTACTAGATACTTTAAAATAGATAACTCAGTATTTGAAGAAACTCTTGCAGAAAAACCACTAAGCATTGAACAAGTCCCAGTAGAGAAGAAGAAAATATCTGATGATGAAGATATTAATACCGAAACAAGTTCTTCTCATTTCAAAACAATTAAAACTTCTACAAAACCAAAAAATTTAAAAAAATAACTTATTGATGAAATAAGAACACAACATCAAGAAGATATGGCAATGCAACATAAATTAATTCAATTATTTGAAAAATCAGTAGAATAGCAAAAAGAGCAACGTCTTATTTTGAATAACGCTTTACTAGCTATTGTAGAAACTTTAAAAAAACAGTAAATTCTACAACTCACTTATATATTACTATATTATTAAGTTTAAGGTTTTATTTTCATTTGATCTTAAAGTATACTATTGTATGAAGTTACATATTTAATTTTYATATTTGTTGTTACTATAAACTAGTTATGAATAATGATTTACTAGTTACTGTAGAAACTTAAAGAAAAAAAGTATATTCTACAAATCACTATATTCACTGTGACTATAATTATATTATAAAGTTTATTGTTTTATTTTTGTTTGATCTAAATATTAATGTAATAATGTATYTAATAGTGCTCAAGGTGAAGTATACTATTAATGTTTAATTGTTTTTATTTTTACTTTAAACAAATTAGKAATAACCTAAATAAGTGAACAGTCATTACAACTCACTGATATGATACTAACAATTGTATATTTTCAAATTTAATTATTAAATTGTTATGTTATACTATTTTTTAAACTTTATATTATGTTTTGCTTAAAAAATATTAATAAATGCATACAAATTGTTTTGTTTATTGTTCTTATATTAATTTAAACTAAATTAATTAATTATTTATACATTTTGTATATTAATACAATATATATATATATACATATATATACATTAGATACATAAAACTAATCATACATTTAACTGTCTCAAAATGTCATTTCTTTTTACATCTCCTGTTAGAATTTCAAATCTATTTCTTGTATGTTCTTGACTTCCATTTAATAATTAAGAATATTTTCAATAACAACATCAAGGTAGTCATCATTTAAAATACAAAAATTATGAAGTACACAACAAGCAAGTATAATTTTTGAGGCTTTTTCCATATCTGTTGTATTAATGTATAACAAACGCCTCCACCTCCCTTTAAGTAAACCAAAGGCATGTTCTATGCATACTCTTGCTTTGCTTAGTGTGTAATTAAATTGTCTCTGTCTTCTGTTTAAATTYCCATAGTCTTTAAASGGAACAATCAACCAGCTAAGATTARGGTAAGCGGAATCTCCTAGCAAATGAAATTTATTACTGTAAAATAATTCTTCTTGCCCTTCTTCATCAACTTTTTTGTACAATTGGCTGTTAACAAAAACCCTAGCATCATGTAGCCTACCAGGAAACCCCACATTTATATTTGTGAATATTTTATTGGATGTACAAATTCCTTGCATTATAATTGATTTGTTTAATTTTYTATCTGTATAGCTATCCTGTTGATCTACAGGTGGTTTCACAATAAAATGGCATCCATCGATAGCACCAATAACACCTACATTTTAATAATTTCAATAATAATAATATAACATAAATTATTAAATTACATTTTAAATTGAATATGGTAATATTTACCTGGGAAATTGGATTTTTCACGAAAAATTTTTGCAATTTCTACACAGTCCGATTTCTTAGGCCAACAATTATTTTAGGGGAAAATTTGCATAGTTGATTCACCACTATGTCTACAGCTTTTTTAACAGTAGATTTTGCCATGTTGAAAAATTCACCAGTGGTGAACATAGCTCCTTCTTTAGCTAAATACCATAGAGCTATCAGCAACTGAAAAAAATGACATAATTACCTAAATTAAAATTATTTTTTTATACTTAGCAACTAGGGTTAATTATTTACTTTTTTTTTCAATTGACAAAGGTTCATGACCTCCTGTATAAGATATATTCATTTGTGCATCTTGCCTAAACATTGATACCAGTTTTGTAAAAGTACTTCTTGTCATTCGAAAATGTCTACTTATATARAACAATAATATATATAAAAATGTAATAAAGAAACCAAATTAAATAATCAATTAGTATCTTACCCATGAAAATCATTGTCAATGTATGCTTCAATCCATTTATCAACAGTGTTATTTATTCTATAATGTTGTTGTCTTTTCAAAAATGTCGAAATTAACTTTCTCTTTTCTAACATTATTTTTAATTATATTTTGATGAAGAATTACATTGGAACACATTTGTAAATGTTCATTATTCAATTGAGTTAACTGATTTAATATAATAGATAAAGCAGTGGTTTCCATAGTAAATTATTATTATTATATGATAGATACTTAATATATTAATTATTTATATAAAAATAATGTAAATAATTAATAAAAAAAGCTAAAACAAATAAAACAATACATTTGTCACTTATACTAATAAACACATTCCAGAAAGATATTAAATTATATTTTTCTATATATCTACTGGTTATCTATTTCCTAGAATCTAATATTTATATTAACCACAAATGCATCGTTTTCGCGAGTCTTTGACCAATAACCAAAATCATGTAACCACATCTGATTAAAAGTATAAAAAGGTTAAGCGCGAAAACACACCTATAATAAAGTATAGTTTTAGATATCTGAATTATCAACAACCGTTATCAAATACAATACATTTCAATTAACCGTTACAATTGTGACAATTTCGTTTTTTTTTTCGGTCGTCTTAGAACTAGTCGTATTGGTTTATACTGTTTATAGTATTAACAATTAACAATGAATAGTTCTATAAAAGATTTTTTTACTACTAGTAGGCCTAGTACCTACTAATATTAATAATCTCAGTATAAAATCAGTTGTTGCTATTTCTTCACAAGTTCCTGATCAAAGTGCTCCTTGAATCGAGTGTTCTACAAGTACCAATGATTCTAAAGAAACTGAAGACAACAATCATAGCATTTTTGATATAACGGCATATATTGGTAAACTTATGTCAAATAATGAAAAATTTGAAGTGCTTAAAACAATTTGGATCCCAGGTAAAAACCATAATTTGCCGATCACGCTGCATGACAATTAAAATTTAAAATTTCCACTTTCTTGGCTTAATAAATGGAATTGGATAGCTTACAGTAGTTTAGCTGATGGCGTTTATTGTAAATATTGCGTATTATTTGGCATCGAGTGAATGATATCATTGTGAATAGTTTGGAAGAAATGATTACCTACATGGTCGGATAAGGATGTAGCAACAAAAGCTAACCAAATATTTTTATCAATAGGAACTTCAAAATGCAACATTAGTCTATCTGTAATTATTAAACTATTTCAGCATACTAAACCTCTTATAGTGTTTACTTAAAAAAGCAAAAAATTGACTTGGTTGAAGCAATTAATCACATCAACACTATTTTAATTGAATTAATGAATATTCATGAAAATGCTAAAACAGTCTTTAGTTATTTGTCTAAAAATCTTATAAAAAGATCAAATGAAATGGATATTGAAATAAAAAAAGGTAATAACATAGGAATAATTTTTCAACAGAAAATCCAAAAGATTATTCTAGACTTCTAGAGTATCTGTTTTTATTCCATTAATTGATTCTATAATACAACAATTAAATCATCGTTTCAATTGCTATAAAGAAATAATATCTGGTTTTAAAGTATTGATAAATCCATATGCTAAAAGTGATTTTCATCATCTTGTAAAATATTATCAAGAAGATGTTGAAAGTCATAAAAAGTTGTAAATTCTGAAGTTGATTTATGGCACAGATATTTAAATACAAATAATATTAAACCTCAGAATGCATTAGGTGCGTTACTTATGACGTGTAATCAGGACTTCTATCCAAATATTTATAATTTATTACACATCCTTACTGTACTCCCAGTTACATCTTGTGAGTCAGAAAGGTCATTTTCTTCACTGAAGCGAATCAAAACATATCTGAGGAACTCAACTTCTGAAACCAGGTTAAATGGATTAACGGTTCTTAACATATATCGAGAAGTTCCAGTTACAGAAGATGAAGTCATTGACGTATTAGCTTCAATAAAACACCGCTTAGATTTGTCTTAAATGAGTACTTATTTAATATTTAAAATAATAATCATAATTAAAAGTATATTGTTAGTAAACACATAGGTATATTGTTAATAAAAATTAAGATGGTTTATTTTTTCAGACCTCCCTCCCCCCATGAAAAATTCCTGGTTGCGCCACTGAGGCAGACTGACACAAAAATGCCTTTGATCAACGCACAATTTTTTTATAAAACTATTGGTGTTGTAACGGTGTAGCCTTCACCACACATAAAACTGTCCTTTTTAGGACCACTAATCACAATACAGCATATGAAAAACAATAGCATCTAGTGGGATAGAATAGGATTTAGTGGTGAATTTAAAACCTTTAGATTCATCGCACATCCCCAGAAGTACGGCTATGGATAKGGAAAATAATGACGAAGACAACAACACCTCACACATATCTGTAAGTCCAAAAGTGACCCCATAATAACAAAACCCATACCGACAGTAAGCACAGGCATGCACGGCGGCACACTGATGGTTTACTAGTCAGTACGGATCATAGTATATATACCGGGCATTTTTTCAATTCAAGACACCTTCTTCTTCAATCAATACTACCATCGTCAACATCTAAATAGTTGTCGACATACAACGACGAACGACCTCTACAGGCCTGACACCGTCCGTTGCAGTCTGCTTATCCAAGCCAATTGCACGGTTCGGAAATAACTTATTCCACATTTAATTTACTGTTATAATGTTAGATTTGAACTAATAAACCGATATGTTTATAAGATAACAAAATGAATTTAATTATTCACGATCTCAGGCCGTCGGAAAATGACGGGCCGTATCAGGTTTAACACAGAAAAAACAACCCAATATTACAGGAGTAATAGGCCTAAGTATGAGGAACGTATGTTTACTATTCAAGCGTTAGAACTGCACTACACTGTCTACACTATTAGTTTAATCTAATAAAACTTTAATGGTACAAAAAAATTGAATGAACCAATCATGGGCCACTAAATAATATTTAAGAGACCATTAGCTCACTATTGATTCCCTAAATGTTTAGTGATTGTTCACACAACCCGACATTATAGTGAAGATGGTGGTGTGCTGTTCGATTTCTCTTTTTGATCTATGTGCAACATAGACAAAAGGCATTTTCGCAGAATTATATTTATTTTTTATGTTTTTGTTTAATCTTACAGTAAAATCACTTATTATAAACCGACGGAAAATCATATTTTTGAGGAAATGGTGTATCAGATTGTCTAAGTATTGTCTCAAAACAATTTTAACATCATTCAAATTTTCAATTTGTTTTTATAAATTATCCTCTTCAAATTGTTGTAATAGGTCATTTGATTAAAAAATAAAAAACTATTTTAAGTGAGCGTTTTATCTGTGCTACGCAGTCTGATAGAGAAAACAAATAGGTAATGCGCTTACATCCTCTTAAACAACCTCTTTGTTGTGACCATTTCTAAAATTTTATCTCAATCTACAATAAAAATCTGAATATAATCACGATATTATTTAAAGTTATTGTCTATTATTCGAATTAATAACGAAGGAAAATTTCAATGTTATTTAACTAAATGTTTCAACCTAAATACCAATAAATTATTTTTTCTATATTCTAAAAGTAATAATATGATTAGAAAACGTCTTTTCGAACTAATTTTTTAATTTAAAAATATTAAAATTATGTTTTATAATTTACTTTTGGCCATGAGAATACAATTTGTGTATTAATACAAAAATAGTATTAAATAATTTATTTTGTGACATAAATTTAACATTTTTTGTAAATAATAATATAATAATATATTAATATCAATACTATAATTTTATTTGTAATTGCAACTCAATAATATGCATTAATGTATAATTATTATTTATATAATTACAATACTATACCAATAATGAATCATTTTTTAATAAACTAAAAATTATTATTATATCTAAAATCAAAAATTAATATTTCTACATATATATATATACAGTGTCCTACAGAGTTCTGACAAATGAAAT